CGATATAAAATTCATGAGGGAAGAATAACAGGAACAGCAGTTTCCCTTTCTGGATGTGCTTGTCAGAAAAAACCTCAACGGTGGACTTGGAACGACTGTTTATAGGAAGGCAACAAACACCAAACAGCTTCTCAGTTTTCGCAGCAATCATCCGGCGTGCTACCCAGCATTTCCGGTTTAGGGCAATCGAAATAACACTTTTTTCCGACTCGAATTCCGGACAAGCAAGGTATCTTTGGAAAAATACTTCGGCGCTTTTCTATTTGTAGAAATATGAAAATAAAAAGTACCTCCATGTGCTCGCTTAGTTATGGGACAGCTGGATGTGTGGGAAACCCATGAATGATGCTGACTATTTACTAGGCGTCAGTAAAAATTTCAGTCGTCACCTGATCCTCGGCTCCACTGTTTGATCCACTTTTTAACCGAGCGTTGAGAGTTGAGGATATAAAAACCATCGAATATAGGGAGCAAATTCAGTTCTTCTGGATGACAGCCTAATTTATGCGTGAAAAATAATGTTTGTAAGGATTCTCAAACCCCGTATTCACTGCCTACTGAAGCAAGTTCATTCAGGGAACAGTCGCCAGGAGAGTTTTGTCTCTAATGTGACATCGTCTTCCATTGGAAATGAGTTGTCATGAAAAGAATTACTAGCATTCTATTCTCATCGTCAAATAAATAACAATTTTGTTTCTCCTAAGAATGCTTCAGTTCGGCATTTCCACAGTTAATCTGGAGAAAAGTAAGCCCACTTTTTATCATTTGGCGAATGAACCCACTTAATGTGCAATTCTTTAAATAAAAAATAATGTTTAACTACTTTCTATGTGCAATTGGACACAGCTACACAAGTGACATGACAAAACTTCCAAATATTGTTTAACATACTGCTCGTGACTCTTGTTTGTCTCGCTCATTTGCATTTAGAGTTTTCTTTCAGTTAGTTTGTCATTTTAAATCCACATCTTAGCTAACTAGCCTTTATAAACTCCTGTGAAACTAACTTTCGAACTTGAGTTTTTAGCTAGTAACCGTACCGCAGGTATGATAAACCAGGTAGCGTTTCTATACTACTGACTACTTGTAAGCAGGATGGGAATATTACACGGTTATTCCATAAAAAATGATGAACTTCAAATCGAATATTTGAATCAACTGTCGAACCGAACCTGAGAATATTTGAAGAGAAATTAATTTAAAGTTCATTCGTTAATCTCCGAGAATATTAAAAAAACTTCATATTCAGAAGTGGAATATGTACCAAAAAAGGCATGGAAAACGTTATGGGACCCACTGATGAACCGAGCTTCTCACAGCTCCGTCAGGCAACATCAAAAAATCGCATCTAACCTTTTGACTAGTGTCTGTGGTGCACAATTTTAAGCGGTCTGCTCTTTCTTATTCCCGCGCCACACTATGTAGGTTATTCGGAATGTAACGCTTTATTGAACATACAACGCATGCACATGTTGGTCTGCTAAACACCGAACTGCTGCAAGGATTCAGGTTCTACTGGGACTTACCACATTTCTATCTATTAACAGAGACACATGGTGTTGTCTCGTAGAAGACTGCGATAAGAATTTGAATATTGGAGTCTACGATATTTGTTTACTGAAGAAAGAAATAAGAAACTTGGCAGTATTCAAGTGAAATAGACCCTAAGTCGAATAGATGGCAGAATTTGAAAACCATCCTTACACTAGGGTGATGAATGTGCATTCAAACTGATGCCCGAGGCAGTGTGCAAAGGCTAATAACAGCTGACACAGGCAAGGTCAAGTCAGCAAAACCACGATATCCCTAGATTATGTTGAGCAGGCAAAGTTATTGGAGGCAACATTATGGGAATCCGTTTCTCACTCAGGTTATCTCAGTGTAAAGCATCCACAAACCCGTAGGCAACTGTTTCGGATAGTTTTACTTGGCAGCAATGAGTTAATAAATGGACGGATAGGAAACTCAGTCATGGATAAGGGAAACCATAAGGGCGTGAGGTTCTCTAAAACGAACTCTTAGAAGCGCTTAAAGTAGGATAAGTTGGACAGATCAGCACTGCATATGGCGAAAAGGTGGGCGTTTTCTCTCGTCTGAAGAACCAATAGTTATGGTCATAGATGGAAAGACTACTTTAAAGGAACTGCTGAGATCAGTCTGCACAAAACCATATGCATAAAAACGGGAAATAAGGTCGAAAGATCAAGAGAAGCAGTCAACTGTTTTGTTTCGGACAATAAGGAAGATCCCTCAACTTATTTGTGTTAGTCAGCGTAACGATTTGAATGAAAACCCTTATTTGGGTGTATTATACTTGGCTTACTGTCTTCGAAAGATGTGATTTATCGAATGCGTAGATTACTATCTTTTAATAATCCTGTAGCACTTGCTTTAGGGGATTATACTCTTCTGCAAAGGATAAGTAATCAAGCTGTTTGACATAAAATGTTTAGCTAAGTTTGGACCTGGACTTCCAAATCACTAGATGGCTAGTGGTAAGTTAGGACGGATAACGAAAATATCGAAGCATTGTCGTTAGAGTTTCCATTTATGGAACCATCGGCTGACCATAACGCTGTTCATACGAGTACTAAAATGCAAAATATTTACCCCAATAGTATATAAAGAACATAACAGGCGGCTATCTGACGGATAGATCAGTAGATATCTAATTCAGAAGAGAGAGTGGCGAGTGAACGTTCCTTTCGGTAAATTCTCATCAGGCCAATACAATTACATAGGGCGGGGTACAGTGCGAAACTCGGGTGATTTGGTGAGGAATTCGCTTAAATAAGTTGCCAAAGTACGAACCTTCACGAACCATTGTATGTAGTCTTCCATGGCAGTTTGCTAGCTAAAATATACGAATTTTGGATCACAAAACCGAAGTCTTCATTCTGCTTGGGGAACACGAGTCTAAACGGTGCAAAAGTGCAGGATTCTCAGTCTTCACTTTGGTCGCGTAATCGGACATAAGATGCCAAATTCAAAATAAAACGAGCCACAGATACGTTCACGCAAAAATAGGGATTCTCCATAACGAGCGAAATCGCTGAGCGATTTTTTACATAAACTTCCCCATGTAGCGACAAACGCAGTTAGTGATGAGGTTTTATCGGAACTTTATTTGTGAAAATTTTTCGTTGAACTCGCTGAAATATGGCGTCACTTTTTCAAAAATGGTTGACTTCAAACGCACAGAACCGACAGGTTCTTACCAGCGTTTGGCCGAGCAGTTATTTATAGAATTCGGGATAGACGGTTGTCCAGAGGTTATCGGACGACACGTCCGCTTTGCTGTCCTCGTGGACGGCAGAAAAATCCACCTATGCATGACATTTGAAGGGCCGACATACAATTAAGGCTTCTGGCGTCATGAGGAACCATTCAAGGCATGGTGAGCGCCGGTGCCGATACTAAAAAAGAGATAAAAGATGAAGTAAACTCTTATTCAAAGAACAGCCGAACAAAACAATGCAACATCATATTTTATTATACAAAGAAGAACGCTATCTGCACAGACATTAAGCCTCCATCGTTGGCTTCCCGCCTATAAATACCTCGGAGATTTGGGTCTGATTCAAACTTCCAAAAGAAACAGCAAGGCGGTGGTAAAGCATTTTGCTTTGTCGCAGCCTTACTATTGCTGTAATGGAGTCGAGACTTGCGGAGGTAACGGAATATTTCACAAACATGAAGTCAGTTAAAATTATTCAAATATGCCGAAAAAAACCGAACAAGTTGTTTGTTCTTCTTCGATCGTCCACAAAAGTTTGAGTTGATTTCTGAAGATCCAGTTTAAGTGCAAAAACGGTACGTAAAGTGCGGCCAGAGAAATATTCGATAGTGTTCGACAGTAATAAGTTTCCTATGGGAAAGAGTGCTGACCTACGCTTCATTTGCACTACATGGAAAAGAACTTCTATTGCATAACTCTCACGCTGTCTTGTTAGGCATATCGGTTCCAGTAACAAAATGGTTGGAAAAGAGAAGGGAATAAATGTCTGACTTGATATAAATCCCCCCTCAAATGATTGTGATAGGACTGCTTCTTTAGCAAAACTACCCGACCTTCACAGAAACGTGTACCCCTAATAGTTTTTACTTAAGTAGACAAACTCCATCACTGTGCGGCTCTCACTTGAAACAGCCATTTTTATCGTGCCAGCATTCAACTACCTCGTTCATAACTTTGCGTATAATGATCGTTCAATGTGCGCCTTTTGCAAGATTGTGAGAGGCCACACAGGCTGCCCCCACATGACTCGAGTCTATCGGATATGAAGTCTAATGCAACGGTTAATCAACCATCCGTCCCTCTTCCATCATATGAGTATCACTTACGTGCTGATTCCAGATATCGACTCCACTCGATCATCTGTTAAATAAAGAGGGCGCGTGCTTCTACAAGCTTTACGCCAAAGACCATCCACCCAGGTTACATTTAACCAGGCGACTGTTCATACGTTCTGCACTTTGAAGAGAACCAGCTTTGCTTGACGAAAAATTTGTGACTTGGAAGTCATTTGGTTTATACTGGGAGAGGCGTCAACCTTGCTCTATCTTCGTGTCTTTGTCGGGGTATAGTGGCAAGGCTGGGCCAAAAAAGGGGAGAGGACATAGGGTGCCGCTATTGCAACACAAGCGCTGATGCCTCCGTCAAAACGAATCACGCTTCACTTATTCTGAAGTGAAATCATCAAGGATGAACATGATGTCGTCATAAAAATGTTACCTCAACCTGGTTCTCATTCATGAGGACAAGTCAGTTAAAATGACAATTTTTCAAGCTACGACATTATGACAAGTCGGAAGCTTAAAAGTGCATGCAACAGATTATAATGATGAAAGGTAGTTTGTTTTAAACGATACGGTTTCCTCAGAAGAAGAATATGCGATCAATGGAATAAGAAGTTTATTGACCTGACGTTCCAGATCCCCACTCGAACCCATAATCTGCAGCCGTCTCTGATGATGGGTTCGAGTGAGGATCCGAAACGTCAGGCCAATAAACTTCTTGTTCCACTGATCGCTTCTTTTTCATCATCATCATCATCATCATCATCATCATCATCATCATCATCATCATCATCATCATCATCATCATCATCATCATCATCATCATCATCATCATCATCGTCGTCGTCTTCTTCTTCTTCTTCTTTCTGAAACCTGCCTGTTCGCTTCTACCGGATATGTTTTGTATCCACACGAGTTTTGAAGTCTCCAACAGGAATGATATTGTCTACTTCCGAAGTAGAAACAATCAGGATGTGCATTTGTTCTTAGAAATGTCTCCCTCACATATTGGTAGTCTGACCTTGTAGGATATACCTGTCAGTATTTGTGGCAAAGTTCCTTTCATGGAATGGCATTCTAAGTTTTACAGGTCAGGTGTTCATTCCGTTCTTTCTTGTCGACTGACCTTCGAGACATCTAAAGGAAAGTGGGAAGCCAAGGCAGCTAGATTAACAAACATTAGCATTTTGGCAGAAGGATGGGGGTCTCTTGAGAGAAATCACGACCAGATGACGGAAAGGTTATGTAGCTCAACTTCGAGGCAACTTTCCAACCTATGCCCATTGAGTGGGTCTATATTATTCAACTGAGCAGGGTTCCTTCGTGACATAGAGCTAGCAGCCAAATTCAACGACCGCTCGCCGACTTTCAGTGATCAAGCTAGGTCATCTATAGATGGAGAGGTAACTCTCAACCTAAAGACCTGGAGATTGCCGTTCTTCGCGATTGAGGTGACTGTGATGAAGATGACTCGTAAGAATTCGATTCAGATCTGAAGGGCTTGCGCGGCACTAGTATCCCTCCATCTCCCTCTCTCTTCCAAATCTAATCCTTATCTGGGGAAAGATTAAATTCAGAAGGTTGGCAATGAAGAAGAACGTCGCGGCGGACCTGGAAAAATGCACATAAATTGCTGCCCGCTTATGCCAGACTTCACTGCTTCCCCGGTCTGATATAAAATAAGAGCCTATTCGTATGTCCAGCTCTGAACCAACAACAATTTCACGGACGAAATATGAACACCTCTTGCTGTTCATTGTCTCCGTCTAAACTACAAAAGCACCGACAGTTCGATCGCCATTGTCGACGATGTACACCGTATGCTCCACAGCAGGATGAGAGCAGGCACGGTGACTTGTACGTGAGTTGGTTTATAGTGGTAGTCGACTTGCACCTCTGCCCACAGAACGGACAGAAGGAGAGGGCCTCAGTGTTCGGACGCGGCCAATTTGATTTACAGTGGATGGGCTTACTCATGACATTTCAACCGCAATTTCGAAATGCGTTCTGGTTTCGAAAAGATTAATTAAGTAGGGTTGTAAAACTAGTCCTCATGCAGCATAATAATATAATGATCCAGTTACCTCAGGGTGTCAGCTTTCGAATGAATTTATTTCCGACTGCATGCAATAACTATACTCTGAAAAACTGACTACTTAAGTAGCATACAATTTTCCCGCTGATTTGCAATGCCTTTAAATATTCAATTATATTTCACGGAAAAAATGCATAAACTATTCATTCTTTTATTTGTTCGGCAGAAAATCAAGTTTTTTTCCAATTTTACACTCGAAAGAAGGGTATAGTTCGGTTTCAAAAAAGTTTCTGCATGAGGATTAGCTTTACAACCCTACTTAATTAATCTTTTCGATACGAGAACGCATTTTGAAATTTCGGTTGACATTTAATGACTTAGCCCACCTACTGTAATGATGGGTACTCTCCGGAGGAGGTTTCAGGCGGAGCACAAGTGCAGTGAAACGAATCGATAGAACGTGGAAACGAAATTAAACGAGAGAAATCGGATAAAAGTGTACTACAGGTGTAGACCGAGAAGCGTATAAGATGCACGACTAAAAGCCCAAAGACGGATATCGTCTGGAGATGTGCAGACTATCTTTTATCAACGTAGCTGAATTTACTAACTGCTTGGTCGAAATAGATTGGTTAATATGCACCACAGAGGCCTCATAATGACAAAAAAATGGAGGTGGCATGATGGTGTTGACCAATAAAAATTAGAGATTATCAAATCTAACAGGTCACCACTCAAGATGCTGCCCTTCTGATAAAACAGCGTGAAAAACAAACAAATTAAGAAAATTCATATTAGCCCAACCGTGAAAAACTCGGCGCCTTGATGGGATTCGAACCCACGGCGGTAAGGTGAAGGTTTTAGTACAGTCAACGTTCTACCCACCTGAACTACGAGGCCCCGCTGGCCGACGCGGGTTCAATCCCATCTAATAACGCTGCAATTGTGGCTATCTGACAAGTATGCACACATGCATAACCACTGATGAAATTACAGATTTGTTGGGTAAGCAGAACAGACTCAGGGGCTTAGAAGAAGGATATCTAACGTGAATGGGGCTTGCAAACCCCTAACTGATGGAAAACCAAAATAGCCATTACCCTGCCAATACAGAAAAAACTCGAACAGTTAGATTCGCTGTAGAAAATCAGGTATATTTATTTTAGTGCACGGACTTTCGTTTGTTAACTTGTTAAATCGTTCTCCAGTTTTGCAGACAGCATAGTTTTTAAAGGTAACAATTCGTTCCAGATGCCATTGAAGCGGAGAGCCATTGTGCAGAAAGTAACTAATTTTGAATCCAGGAAACCGCGCATTTTACTCCTGATCCTATTGTGACTGAATACAGGACAGTAGGCATTTCGGCCATCGAGGCCGATTCGACACCACGCTAATATTCAATTCAAAGCCATGTGGATTGTAAGGAAGCATAGTCTGAAATATTAGTGTTATTGATACATCTCAGCCATCGTTTCATGTTATTTGAAGTGTTGCCACCCTAAGATGGTAAGGGTATTACAATGGACCTTTCCGAGACTGATTATTCCGCCAACGTTGGCCGTAAGTTATTGCTGTACTTTTGGATAGAACGTGCTGGATAGCAAAATTTAAGCAAGGTTGATTTAAGACAACTAATTTTCGAATCTAGTGTCTCAATAGAGCGAATGTTTCTTACTCTTTGGAAGCGAGTGTACATCAGGTTTGGTTTCCGTTGTACAGGTAAAAAGCTCAGGAAATGTAAGTATTGACCTTCACATGTATCCTTATGGAAGACCGATCGTCTTCTGAACTATCTTCCTGTCTTCTCATGAGGATGTCCATGAGGGATTGCTTGTTGCGCTGCCCCTTTTCAAATGTGACTTTAATCTTTGGATGGAGATTATTTATAGCAATAAATAGGTCTTTATCTTTCTAGTTGATATCGACAATTATGTATGTATAATCCCGATATCTTCTGTATAGTATTTTCATGTTCGCTTTACTCACCTTTATGACACGATACGTGAAAATGACTTTTATAAAGATTTAACCTAAGGTATAAATTGAACTAATGGAAAAATGTGTACTTTTACGAATATGCGAAAATTGCACTTCAGGCATCAACACAGTTAGGGGTAAAATGGGTACGTCTACAGAGAAGGCTATCACGGATGGTCATGTCAGTTTCCTGTCTCAACAAAACCATTGAAACAAATGCATGTAGTCTGACGTGATCCTTTTTTAAATAGAAGAGTTAGGAGTATTTGCCTTGAGACAATCGAGTTTTAGACTTCCTGTTAACGTAAGCCAGTTGACAATGGAAGAGAAGTGGACTTTGTTCAAGAAATTCAATCTAATTCGCGTAAGAATTCTCAACTGCTTGGATGTCTTTTACCTCAAAGCACAGTAGTAAAACACGTCAAAGTTCGGTTAAAACTCGGCTTAAGCACATAATTTGAAGGCATGAGCGGAAAGCAGTGCAACATATGCCGCTAGAGAGCAGTTGTGTTAACAGATGGGCCACTGTGTGGCAAATAATGTATTTTGAGACAGTCCCCGGAAATAAGCAGAGATGAAAAGGACATATAAGCGTGACGCTGAGATTATTTTCCTGAGGCATATGTAATTTCATCGTGTGCCTCGCTGGCATATGTGAGGAAAGTCTCTGGTCATGCTTTCTCATACTCTGACTGACGAAAAGTAAAGAAAGTCAGCTTGCATTAGATAAACGAAATGGGAAAATACAGTGCGTGACCTATCTCATGAAATGTTGGCTGAAATTCTGAAATGCGTTTTCGATTAGGAAGGATTACTTGGTCGCGGTTGTAATACTGACTATCTTGCGGCATACTCTTATAACATTTCGGACTCGGCAGGATATCGGCTTTTAAATGCACTTCTTTTTAATCTCCTGTAGAAAGGGTACTCGGTAAAAAATGACTACTTAAGTAGCATGCATTTTCCCCATTGATTTTCGATGGCCTTGGAAATTCGAAGATATTTTATAGAACCCATAAATGAAAATATGCTTTCGTTTAGTCAGTCAATAGAAAATCACGTCTTCTTTATATTTTATACTTAAGGACGGAGTATAATTAGGTTTTAAAAAAGTTTTCCAATTGCTGAATAATTTGGAACCTGATCATTCGTTGTATTAGCACTTAGTAATTTACGTCTGCAAGGTGCGTGCGGTCCACGTAAAGAAAATCACATATTTTTCTATGCCGTGAAAGAGATATCATACAGAGTCCATAAAATTTTGCAATGGATGCGGTCCATGTTGTTAATTTCATGAGGAGCAGTGGTAAACCGCCGGGTACGATGCTATGTGAACGGACATATCGCGGTCTTAAAAAGTCTCATAATTAGAAACTTTTTTAAAACCTAATTATACTACTTCCTTAAGTATAAAATATAAAGAAAACGTGATTCTCTATTGATTGACTAAAATAAAGCATATTTTTGTTTGTGTTTTCTATAAAATATATATGAATTTCCAAGACCATGGAAAATCGACGGGAAAAATGCATGCTACTTAAGTAGTCATTTCTCACCGAGTACGCTTTCTACAGGAGATTGAAAAGGAATGCATTTAAAAGCCGACATCCTGCCAAGTCCGAAATATTATAAGTGTATGCCTTAAAATAATCAGTTTCACAACCGCGACCAAGTAATCCTGCCTAATCGAAAACGCATTTCAGAATTTCAGCCAACATTTCATGAGATAGGTCACACACTGTATTTTCTTGCAGATTTGCGAGATAATTTTTGCAGTTGCTCATGAGTGTATGAAAATAAGGGCTTCGGTTTCGTCCTTCGTATCCCTCTGCAGTGCATTTTTAAGCCAACTGTCGGAAGGCAGGTAATCCTCTCCAAGTAAATGTTTCCAATAAACCGCTCCATTGGAGTCAAACAGAGTGCGATCGGCCAAGAAGAGTAGCTACAAAACGTTAACAGATTTTCTTCAGGATTCATTCGACCCAGAACAGACTCTACCTCCCTCGGGAGAATAAGGTAACTATTGAGGCCAAAGTACGTCTTCATGCATGGATTTCTAACTTCCATTGGCAGCTTCTAGCTAATTACAACTTTCGAGGAGCCTCATCGGATTATTGTTTCTGTGAATTTTATCGATTTCGAGCCACTTAGAGAAATGAGCTCTACCTAGATAAGTGAGACTGCTAACTTGCAAAAAGGACTTCATGTGGAAGTAAAAACAGAATGCAGTTTTACTTTATCTTCCGTAAGAGTCAAAATCTGCCAGTCCGACCTTCTTTGTATCAGTGAGGCCATTAACGCATGAGTGTATTTTGGAAAGACCAACTACTTATTGCCATCATGTGTTTGTGTCGCATATGTTTTGAATTCTTAAGGTTTATGTTTTCCTCGTCGCTTGCAGTCTACTTTTTAATATCCCCTATGTTTGATTACCATAAGGATGGAATTATTTGGAAAACAGTAAACTTTATTATGTGCATTTTTGTGACTGGTTCCCTAGCTCGTCTTCAGACTATGGGAGTGCAAAAACAATTAACTTCTAGACGGAGTCTGGCAAAGGATGCTATGAGTGGCTAAAGTTTGAGCCAATGCGTGTTGGTTGCAATTTCTCGTATCCACGATCTTGTTTGGGCCGCTTTGATTTTATCTTTAACGATTTTGCATGACGCATCAGACATTCAAAGGTAAAGGTGTTTCCAATGCTACGGCCGCTCGGGCACCAAAATCGACCATTTGGCGAACTCTCCCATACGAGAAAAATGTATCTGAGCTAGTCGAAAGACAACTAAAAAAACACCAGATACACGTAGCCCACCAGCCGGCAACTACCTTACGCGCTCAGCTTGTACACTCTAAGGACAGGGTGGACTGCCTCGAAAGAAAAGGTGTTGTCTACAAAAGTCCATGTTCCAGTTGTGATGCCGCCTATTGTGGCCAAACTGGGAAATCTGTCTCAACCCGTATACATGGGCATCAGTTAGCGGTACAGAGGCGCGACCATCTATCCCAGGTGGCCATGCATACACTGGACACTGGACACAAATTTGCCTGCGAAAACACTAGCATTGTTGACGCCTGCCCAATAAGAAAAAGCCGCGAGTTCCCGGAGGCACTGCACTCAGATGAGGCATGCATCAACCAGCATATCGATCTAGATGCGACATACGAATTCAAAGTGGCTCAACCAATCTCGAGGAGATGACAAATTGCAACTAACACGCACTGGCTCAAACTTTAGCCACTCATTACAGCCTTTGCCAGATTCGGTTTAGAAGTTAATTGTTTTTGCACTCCCATAGTCCGAAGACGAGCTGAGGAACCAGTCTCAAAAATTTACACAATGAGTTTGCTGTTTCCCAAAGAGTTCTATCCTTCTAATTAAATTTCTCGGATGCACGTTTTTCAAATCGTGTTTGATTATATATAATCCTAAATACTTTTGTTGCCTTTGAACTATTTACTTTAAGTGAATCTCATCTATCCACTTTCGATTTGTTTGGGGTTTTGCGTCTTAGGACATGGTATCCGGTAGTACGGCACATACAACAAATTTCACATCCCGACTGTACTGAGCTATTTCTTATTTGGAATTTCTCATATCTGGAATTACCAAATATCATATTGCATTTTTTCACCGGGGAAAGGCAGTCAAATGAATGTCCTAATCTGCATTAACGTGTACCCGGTTGCAAATAAAATGTATTTGAAAATTTAAGGACTTATTATGTGATATTACATATAAAGTGGCATAGGATGTAACATAATAAGTGCCTAATATACTTCCATGCATATTTTCACGTAGTTCATTACATTTGCGCTTGCTACCTCTTACGTATGATGTTTAAGATGCTTCAGAGTCAAAACCGGGGCTTCTATCGACCCACCGTTTTCCATGATTTACTCACAATTGCTTCGACATCATAGTCAGTTTATCAAAACAATTCTCAAAGGGGCTAAATTGGCCACTCTTCTTCAAACACGACCACGCCTCGCATAATTTCCTCAAGAGCCGATAGATGAGACCATCGAATTATTTCTACAAAGGAAATACAATGAGAGGGAGAATCACACCGACACGACCAAATTCACCAACTTCAGGAGCTCTGAAAATACTTACCGTTTGACGGAACAGTTTGAGAGCAGCTGTAAAATGCGTCATTGGGTTCACTGCTTTCCGGACTCACAGCAGAGGTGGTCCGGCGACGGTTGAGTCAGTGAGTTTTAGACACCACGGACTTAAATCTGGTGCTCGGCATATGGAAGGAACTTTCGCGTCAGTTAAGGGGAGCAGGTACTGACATGCAAAGCATACAACAACACTGTCTTTCTGGACGGAACATTCACAATAAAGGAAAAAGAAAACAACCAGATAACCTCATCTGTCGTAAGGGTTATGATAACCTGTCTAGAAAAGTAACAAATAAGAAGCGAGTATGTCGACAGATGGACCGTCGCAAGCAACGACTTTTATCACTGCCCTACAAGTTGAGCCAAGTA